CATCCCCCATGAACCGTCTGATTCCCCCCCCTCCTCTAGGGTTGGTGTCTTCCCCCCCCCCCCCTGACCTTGCGCAGAGCAACATCGCTCCCATAAGATCTTTTTTTCGTTTTTCCCTGCCCCCAAGAAAGGCGGTTTTGGGGGGGGTTGGGGGGGGTGGGGGGTGGCCCGTGCAATCAACGTGAGCCCCTGGGCGAGATTCCTTCTTCCCACCTCACTCGTTCTTTCAGTCTCGAGTGTGGATGTGATTTCTGGAGCTTTAGCAGCCATTTTGGGCCACGAGGCACCTCTGAGGATGGACAGCACCGGGCCTGGACAGAAGAGGGTCCCTGCTGACACCTGGAGATGCCCTGCATGCTCTGGTCTCCCTGTCTGTCCATGAGTCACAAACGTCTACCTTCAAAGACCTCCTCAGCCTTCGGCAACCCTTACCTGCCATGTCTATCAGCCTCAGTGTGTTCACCTGTCAAATGGAGCAAGTAACCTGCCTGAGCTGCCCCCGCTGCTGCCCAGGAAACTCCAATCACTCCACTCAGGAGACGCCTTTGCCCCCCAATCAAGGAAAAGACTGAAGCCAGAGCAGGGCCTCCGGGCAGAAGGGCCGTGGAGGAGGCTTCCATGTGGCGGGAGGGGAGGCATCGGGACGGGAGCAGGGGACCCACAGCCCAGCTGGACACCAAGCTCGCAGAGCAATCACGGCCAATCAATCACGGCCAATCAATCACGGCCAATCACGGCCAATCACGCTGCGGCCTCTCCTCGCGGTGATTCGCCCTGTGATCAGCCATCGCGCCTCCCCCCGCGGGGCGTGGCCCGTCCAGCCACAGCTCCTACCTGGTTGGCTGGTTAGGTGGGTTTTAACCTCTTTCTTTTCCGCTTTTTACCTGACTCCCTACGCCTTCCTGTTAACAGAAGGGCAGGGAGGGTGAGCGGGCCTAAGAGAGGGCTGTCGGGCGGCGGGCACTGCAGGAATGAGCACCCGAGAGGCTTGTCTCCTGGAGGAAACCTAATCCATCAGCGCCACACGACCTCCTGGCCCCCTGGGCGGCCACACCACCAGGACCCCCCCGGCAACGCTGCAGCCAGCGGCCCAGCACCGGCCTTCCCACCAGGGTGGGGACCTTCCTCAAACACGTCTCCCCTAATTACCCCAACCGGCTGCCGACCCACCAGGGCTGGAGACTTAGAATGCACACCCCACCCCACCCCCTCACCACAGCCTGAACCTCGCGAACCTCTCCTGCCAGAGCCACACAGCTGGGCCCGCCTCCCGCCGAGGCCCACGGGCGGCACGATCCGCCCCAGCCGGGCCCCAGGGCATACTGGCTGGTCAGCAAGCGTCTGACTGAGCTCACAGCAGCCCGATCCACCGCCCCCGGAACCCTGCTCACCACAGCCCAGCAGCCAGGCGAGGACCCCTGGACGCGGGGAAGAGAGGGAGGGCGCCAGCTCACCTGTCTCCTCCTCGCGGAAGTCGGGGCTCGGGCCGGTGGGCGTGCAGGTGCACTCCAGGTGCTCCTCCAGCCGCACCTGCACTTCTTTTAACTTTGGCTTCTTCCTGACGTACTCCACCTTGGCCACCTGCCGAGACAGACCCGCGTGAGCAGGAGGGCGCCTCTCCTTCCACCTCCTACCTCCGACCTCCGACCTCTGACCTCAAAGCTCCTCCCAGCAGAAAGGCAGGAGTGAAAACAAGCTTCAGACAGCGTTTGTGGTCTGGTCCTCTTTTACCTTAAAATAAACCTCACAGCCCTGGCTGGTTTGGCTCAGTGGATAGAGCAGCGGTTCTCAACCTGTGGGTCGCGACCCCTTTGGAGGTCGAACGACCCTTTCACGGGGGTCACCTAAGACCATCGGAAAACACATATATAATCACGTATTGTTTTTGTGATTAATCACTATGCTTTAATTATGTTCAATTTGTAACAACGAAAATACATCCTGCATATCAGATATTTACATGACGATTCATAACAGTAGCAAAATGACAGTTATGAAGTAGCAACGAAAATAATGTTATGGTTGGGGGTCACCACCACATGAGGAGCTGTATTAAAGGGTCGCGGCATTAGGAAGGTTGAGAACCACTGGGATAGAGTGTCGGCCTGCAGACTGAAGGGTACCGGGTTGGATTCCGGTCAAAGGCACATGCCTGGGTTGAGGGCTCGATCCCTAGTGGGGGGTGCGCAGGAGGCAGCCAATCAATGATTCTCTCTCATCACTGATGTTTCTCTCTCTCTCTCTCCCTCTCTGAAATCAATAAAAATATATTTAAAAAATAAACCCACATGCGTGCCAGTGGGTCTGAGGATGTGCTTCAAGGTGGGCGCTGGGGTGGGGGCGAGAGGGGCGGGGGGTGGTGGTGAGGGAAGGTGTTTGAGTCCGTGTTTTGGGCGCATCTGGGGCCAAGGGCAACGCTCCCCATGTGTCCCTGGTTATGGGGGAGCCTGGGCCGAGCCGGGCCTCCTGCCCCCGGGCCTCCACCAGTTTCCAGTGTGGGGCTGACTCTGGGACCCAGCTCAGCGAGACCCCGAGACCCCCAGACTCCCGGGCATAGTGGGGCACGGCGTTCACCACCACGGGGGGGGGGCGGTGGCAGGTAGACATTCCAGAAACACCTCCTGCCAGTCCCCTGGCGAAGCGCACACAACACTGGCCGCTTCCCACGCCCGTTTTCGTCAGAGAAACAAGCAGCGATTTACGACGCACCTGCTTCTGGGCCTGCTCGGGGTCCGGGCGCCCGCACCTCTGTCCAGGCAGGAAATGGCACATGTCCCCCCAAAACATGCTGTGAATGTTAAATTCTCAGAAGCATCCTCCGCACCAGCCAGGCCCACAGACGAGACATTTACGCCCTAGAGCCCCCCGTTCCCGTAACCTCAGCCCCCAGACCCACACGGGAGCCCAAGTGGGGTCCCCATGTCCCTCCTCCCTTCCCCCTCTGTTTGCACCGTATAAAACAAACACCCCAACTCCCCACGACTGAGGGTGCCCGTGTAATGAACCACAGGCCAATGCACCCCACAATCCATCGGGGATGGACGCCACCCCCTCCAGACAGGGGAGGCCTGAGCTCTTGCCGCTCACCAGGAGGGACTGCCATGAGGAGGACGCCCCCAGCAGGGCTGGGGAGAGCCACGCCCGCAGGGGACGCCACCAGGTTATGTCCTGACTGACGGGCAGCGTCAGGGCAGAGCAGCCTCCGTGATGCCCAGCACTGACCGAACCCCCGTGTGAGTCACTGTGAGGCTCACAGCCACCGAGGGCTCAAGCACGCCCACTTTACAGATGAGGGAACCGAGGCAGCAGACAAGGCTCGTTCTTTTGCTGGGAGGAGGCCTGGACCTGGAACAGCAGGGGCCCCGAGCTGGTCCTTAACCAGGGGACGTCCTAACTAGAGGAAGTCCGTCCCTCGGGTGTGACGGCTCCGGAACCCGCAGCTCCAGGCACCGCATGCCCAGTTCCGGGCATGTCCCGGCCCGGCTCCACAGCCATTCAGGACCGAGGCCAACCCCAGAGGCTCCTGGGCCTGATGGGCAGTGTCCCTGGGCCACGGCCAGCTTCCCGAGCCCACGCTGTTCGCCTCCCTGCCCACCAGGGCCTCGCAGGCTCTCACCGGAGACCTTCACCTCCAGGCCCCAAACTGGACCCACACAGCCAGGAGGTCCCTGTGCCCCCAACTCCGTCCACAGGACACAGAGGCCGGTCCCGGGCACCACAGGGGGACCCACCCGACCTGCCTCCCAGGAAGCCCAGCAAAGCCGAGCTGGGTCCCAGCCCCTGGAGCCCTGGGGCGGCCCAGGCTCGTGACTGAAGGACTTTGGTCCGTGCCCTCAGACAAAACGGGCGCCCCGACCTGCAGCTCCCTCCCCGAGAGGGGCTCACAGCAGCTCCTTCACCCTGACCCACCGCGGCCTCTGCTGGGGGCCGGGGCCTGAGCCACTGGGCACACCACCAGTCCTGGCCACCACCGTCCTGACCCCGAGGCCTGGACCTGGGGACAGGGCCCCGGGTCGGCCCACACGGTGGCCGAGGAAGGACACCTCCTCAGGGAAGCCAGTTAGGGAGTGGACAGCAAGCACTGACCACAGCAAGCCCAGCTCAGGGAAGTGGACCCCTGGGCCCCCAGCCTACCTCTGAGTGTCCCTACCTACCCTGGGGGGCCTGTGGGGGGCCTGGGGCCCCTGCTCCCAGATGCTGCCACCAAGCTGCTGCAGGGGTAGGGGGGCCAGGTCCCTGAGGAGGGGTGAGCCCTGCTCCAGGCCCACACCTGTGACCTCATGGGGATGCGCGTAGGGGGCTGGCCTTCGACCCCAGCACGTCCAGACACCCAGGGCCTGGGGCCAGTGGGCAGGCTTCGGCCAAGTTCACTCTCCTGGGCCCCAGAGGGTGACCACGCCCAGCCGGACTGCTATCTCCGTTTATAAGACGCCTTCGTGACTCCAAAGGCTAGGAAGCCAGAAAGCCAGGGAGGAGCCACCCCAGGACTCCCACCTGCCCGCGGCCCATCCAGGACGCGGCCTCGGTGCCGAGGGCCCGCTCGGCCTCCACCCAGACGGAGCGGAACGGCCCCTCACAATGGCCCCCTGTTCCCACTGACCTTCTGTCCCTTCAGCCAGAACCCCAGTGTCTGGGCCGGATGTTTTCCTGCCAGCCCTCGCAGGGTGGGCAGGGCAGAGCAGGGCAGGGCGCGGGCGGGACCAGCTGCAGATGGAGTCCCCGGCCCCTCCCGGGCTGACCACGACCCCGCGGGGGCGATGGAGGCCCCAGGGGGAGGCCCTGGTCCAGCTCCGCCACCCCCCTGAGCCCCAGGCAGAGACGCGCCCCCCCGGGAGGGCCGGCCCCACCCACCCTCCCTGCTGCCACCCTCCCTGCTGCCGGGTGTCTGCGCCAGGACCCCACCCGGGGGCAGTGCGAGGGGCCAGCGCCGGCCAGCGCTCCCGGCCTTGGGAGCACCTTGCGTGTGGCCGTGGGCCTCGGGCCGTGGAATGTGCTTCCTCAGCCTCCGAGCGGGGCCCTGGGCCCCGAGGCCAGGGAGGCCCCAGGTTTGGGTCTAAAGGGCCTTCTCATGTGACAGGTGGCCGGCGGAGACGCGGTCCTCCCTGAGGAAGTTTCCCCCTGCACCTCACGCGGGGGCGGGGGCGGGGCCGACACCGGGGTGGACAGCAGGGCACCGAGGGCTTGAGTAACACATAGTCAAGGAGTGAGTTCTACACACCCCGACGGACACATTCCACCCAGGAGGGTGGGCGCACCTGCCAGGGAGGCTCAGCGGGGGGCGCAGGCCTGCTGCCCAGGAAGGACCCACACCCCAGAGCCCAGACAGGGAGCACTGGCCTCACAGCCTCAGCCTCACCCCCGAGAAGCCAGGAGGCGCCCCGAGCCTCCCTCCAACCCTCTCCCCTTCCTAAAGGGCTGGCGCTCTAGTTTCCCAGCCCAGACACCCAGTTGCCCAGCTTCAGACCCATTTTACAGATGAGGTTAGTGCGGCTGGAGGGGGGACCCAGGTCCCAAGAGGAGCTGCCAGCCACTGGCCACCTGGAGGGACCTGAATTTCCCCCCAGGACTCAGGTGGGGAGCTCAGGGAACTCCTACGTGACCTTCCTGCACCGCCCCCTCAGTGCTGCCCTGGAGGGCACCTCGGCCGGCCCAGCCTGGGGAAGAGGAGGGCTCGCTCAGGCTCCCAGCGAGAGTCGGCCCCAGCCACCTGTCCCTCCTGAAACAAGGGAGGCGTGGCCTTGCAGCAGCCCCAGAGGGACCCTCCCAGAGAAACACTCCATCGACACCATGAAAGGGGGTGCCCTCCCCGATTTACAGGCAACATGCCCAGGGTCCGTGCAGGCTGAGGGGACCCAACCCCACCTGCCAAGCACCCAGCCCCCACCAAGGTGCCTCCGTGAAGGAAGACTTTTCCCCCCGACTGTTTCCTGTGATGCCGGGGGCCCCAGACACCCGTCGGCGCAGGAGACGAGCCCCTCGGCCGCACAGCCCTGCCTCCCGGTGCGGGGACCCAGCCCCTCCGACGGCTGCAGGTGCGGGGCAGCGCGCTGGGCTCACCTTGACGCTGCGGTGGTGCACGCGGGACGGCTGGCACTTAACGCTGCTGGTGTTGCAGCAGCCGGTGCAGCGTTTCACCTCCACGCACGGCGGCCAGATCAGGAAGTTGGCGGACGTGGGGTCGACCTGGCTCCGAGGTATCTCATAAATGACCGTCCTGGTCTTGCAGGCGGCGGGGACGGCTTCCTCTGCAGAGGGAGAGCCTGGTGAGTGTGAAGGCCATGCCTGTCCACTGACCCTGCAGCCCCTCCGGGGGTCGGGGCTGGGGCTGGGGCTGGGCAACCGGGCGTGCAGCTGCTGCTTCCTCCAATGGGACATGTCACAGCCCCAGGTCCCCACACCCCACAGGGGTCGCTGAGCTGTCCCAGGATGAGCAGGGGCTCGAGGGCCCAGTGGGGAGAATCCAGGGGAGGACACGGCCGGCAGAGGGAAGGAGGGGTCACACGGCCGGCACAGCAGGAAGGGACATGGGAGACGCCAGGCCCGGACACCCAGCCCCCGAGCCCACCAAGGAGGACCTGGATCTCTTCTGCTCTGTGCTCCTCGCACGTCCACGGTCCAGCCCGAAGCCTTACGGACAGGACACGGGGTGGGACCGACAGACGAGAAACCCACCCCTGGACCCCAGACACGTGCCCAGGGAGCCCCGCCAGCAGGGTCTGCGACCACCCACCGAAGCTGCCTCCAGCAACACTCAGGGCCCCCGGGACCCTAGGGCCAGACTGGAAGGAGCCCCCCCAGCGTGCAGGGCCCACCACGGCCCCAGCACCCACTCGCACACCCCGGGCTCGCACGAGCCCAGAGGCCAGCACGGAGGGGGCGCGACCCTGCAGACGGAGGACCGTCCTCTGCCTCCGCCCTGTCAGCTGCTACAACGCCCCTCCTCACACGGGTGGGAAGACCTCGGGGAGCCTGGGAGACCCAGCAGGGACCTGCGCCCCGAGAATAAGCCACCCCACTGCTGCCCCCCGAGGGAAGCACAGGGGAACCGGACCAGATGGGCTGGGGTGGAGCCGGGAGAGGCCTTGGGCCCAGCCCCTTGTTTTACTCGAGGAGGCCCCTCCTGGCTGGATCGGACCCGCACCCTCCAGGGGGCCCGGCTGCTGCAAGGACGTGACCTACGTGGTCACAGCACAGCGAACATCCCTGGGGAGGCCCGACTACCTGAGCCAGGAGCCACACCCACACACCACGCTCAGCGGGAGAAGCCACAGGACCCTTCTTCTCGGAGGGGCTAAAGCTGGGGGGGGGGGTCACCTGCCCAGGGCCAGGCAGAGCCCACAGGCAGCAGCCGCGGAAGCAGGCAGCCCCACGGCCGACTGCACCCCCAGGGCAGGAAGGTGCAGAGCCCCTCCGAGCTCCAACGTGAGCAGACCTGGGCTCCTCTGTGTGACGGACAAGAACCCCCCCCCCCAAACCCAGGCCGATGTGGAGCCCCAGGA